CCGAAGGCTTTCAGAAGTTGAGTTTAGTGAGACAACCCTCAGATATGGCAGCTAGCTGCGAAATAATAAAAGAACGTGAATAACGTAAACGAGCAATCGCGGACAACGGGAGATCTTTGCTGAGAAGGTGAGATGAGGCAACGTCTGGCAAAAATAGCTCTGGATATCGCAAGGTCTGAATATATCACAGCGACATGGCGAGTAATGCCGCCTTCAAATAAACAGGCTCTCATCCCTAGCGAGCCATTTATTGTTTCAGTTTCGATTGAGAAAAACACTTTGTCGTCAGACAGACAGCCCTCCGTAAAACCAATGCCATAGCTGAATATGATGAGTCAACTAATCTCTAGAACGAATCCTATGGCATTCACATAGGCGACGAGCAGCAGGAAATTCCGGCAACCGTGAGAAATGAGTGAGAGAATCATTATTTGCGACGACTGCAATTGCAGTAGATTGACATGTATAAAATGAATCGAGAAGCTACCAATAACCTCCTAGAACACTACAACAATTACGGGAAAGAGCATGGAACTAGCAGAAGCTCTTCGGTAGAAACGTTCAGATTGCTTGTACTCAGGAGACAAAGTAGAAAGGTTATAAATCGAAAGAGATTAAGCTGGGCTATAAACATATTTACTGTGGAAAATTAAGCAAAAGGAATAGTGTTTGACTGGAACTGAATGAAATAATCAAAGACAGTGCATCCGAAATTCGCCGCATTAGCGGCTAAATCATGAACGCTGAGCTAATTTATGAAAACTGTATCTTAAATAGAAGAAATGCGTATGCCATCAGACTGGTCATATTGAAGCCGCAGACTCGACTTTCTGGGAGAACCAGGACACTTCAATTTGACCCAAACGGGCACCTATGGAAACAGCGGTGGGGTCACGACAGGATTTATAGTGGACATGGGCATGGTATGTTAAGCTCGCAAGAAAAGGACAGTTTTCAGATGGTAGTTGCATTGGATTTGGCTCTGACAATCATGTTTTTCCAGAAAAGAGAAGG